GCAGGAGTGTTTCTACCTCTTTGAGATGGACAGCAGTGTGGCTTGTCCAGCTGAGGATTCGCACCTCAGCGTTGGCTCCATTCTGCTGATCACGTGAGTCATTGGAAGAGCTGTTCGTGTCTGGGCCGTAATCTCCGGTGCCATTTAGAAACATAGCAAATGCTATACTAGACTAGATAATTGTGGTATACCGATCCACAGCCATTGTTAGAGGCTACTGTGCCTCTGAGCTTTTTGGACAAAAGCTCTTGCACAAGGCATGACGCTGCAGAGCTGCTCTGTTCCCTGTAGACATCCTCCTTCATAGTTTACAGGCAAGTGCACTGAAACACGGAAGACATGACTTCCTAAAATTGTACAACAGCTTTTTGCCAGAGCTGGGAATTCAGACCAGGAGCCTTGACTCATTTTCTGTGTTTGTGCTTAGAGGCACTATTTCATGTAATGCTGCTGAAAGATTTATACTAGCAGATCAATATTTTGGGGACAGTTTCTGGTCTGGTCTCCGTTTATAGCTCTGTTTTTGAGTGGTGCTCAGCTGCTTGCTCCAATACCAATCTGAGGCAGGTGGCTGGCTTGGAAGAGGTTGTCTATACAATTTCTTCAGCTCTGATTTTTAATTCTGCCCTCCAGGTTTGCTTCACTGATTGCAGTCTACATCATTGGTGGGTTCCTCTACCAGCGCCTCGTAGTGGGAGCAAAAGGCATGGAGCAGTTTCCTCACTTTGCCTTCTGGCAAGATCTGGGCAATTTGGTGGCGGTGAGTGAAAAATCCCTGTATGTTCCCAGCCTGGCCCATATGTTAGGACAGGAGGAAATGGCATCTGCCTTGCCTTTGTGGACTATGTCTCTTGGGTAGACCTACCACCAGGGTAGTGTACTCTTGAGGCAGACGGAGAGGATATCTGTTGGGGTTTTTTTTTGTAGCTTTTTTTTTTTTCCTGAGTACTCTATTTTTGAATCCTTGCTGAGTCTTGATTCCCTGCCGATGTCCTGAGATTGCTACCTAACAAACCAGAACACGTGCTCATTAGCGGTTAACACGTTCCAGGTAGGAGTGTTAAGCTGGGGACTGTGAAATGATCATGTCCGACTCCCTGAAACCCTTCCTTGGTCACCGTCGGCAGTGCCATTTATCCTCCATGCTCGTCTCAGCATGATGTTGCTGCATACTGTTAATCAGTATGCCCAGGGCTTTCAAGACCGAGTAGGATGTTTGTATGTGTGCTTCCCTTGTCAAGACAAGTTTTGGGGTCCTGTCCCAGATAGGACGGGGATAGGCATGATCCCTTAGCAAAAGAGAAATCACAGAAGCCGCTTTGCTTTGGATTGCATACAGTCTGATTCGGGTGCAATATCCTGTGCTTGTAGGATGGCTGTGACTTTGTCTGCCGATCTAAGCCTCGAAATGCGCCAGCTGCATACCGTGGTGTGGGTGATGACCAGCTGGGTGAGGAGTCGGAAGAACGGGATGACCATTTGCTACCAATGTGACAGACAGGCTTTCCACACTGAGTTCTTTTCTCCCCATCTCCCCAGCGCTTGTTTAGTCGGGTGCCTCCCAGCCAGTTCTCCTTCTCTCACTTCTGGTTTTCTTTATGCTATTTGCTTTCAGCGTCTCTGGTGTGTCAATTCCCATGGATGCCTCTGGGTGTGAACAGCACTGGTCCCTGAAGGCATGTCTTATGAATATAATGCCAGTTTAGGTTTTCAAAAATGCAGCAGAGCTGGGGGGGGGGAAGTGCATAGAGTTGACTAGAAGACAGCAAGAATGCAATAGGAGCGTTAGGCACTGAGCA